ACCCAAAACTTGAAATTTGCAGTCATTAAAAAAGCAAAGCTCGATTGTGGGGGTAAACTAATCTCCGATTACAAATTAGTTTCTGACTCTACTGTTTAAAGTGATCTACTAAACCACAAAATGACAAGTCTTTGATTTGTTTTTTTCATTGTAACAAGGATAATGAAACAAGGATTTGGAGAGTTCACTCCTCTTCCTTCAAAAGACTCAATCCTTGGATGTTATAACAAGTAAACCCAATGCACCTATGAGAATGTACTGCAAGAAGAAGAGAAAGAATGCAAATGTCACGAAAACCGGAAAAAAAAAGAAGCTAAAAGTTTCGTTTTGGATTGGATCGTAGAGCGAGAATGTGTGTTACCTTGATGATAGGTTTTTCTGTCATGATTATAGTCACCCATCCAACATAAGGCAAGAACCTGAATCAGACAAAAAAGGTTTAGCATTTATGAGTCACGAGAGAGCCTTCGGTTTAAAACACTATACGAGGCAATGAGAGCTTTGTAACTGAAGTAGTTTGATTACCCAACAGCACGGCCCATTATATGATGTCGATGAAGCCAAAGCTGTCCTTCAGCATAGAGAAGTCTATCATCTCCGTAGTTATTGTCACCTGGAAACATTAAAATCGAAATGTGCATGCGAGTCGAAGAGTAACACTACGAAAACAACCTTTTCACTCTATACATGTGAAATTACAAATCAATAAAACCAGTACCTTTTGTAAGAACATCGACTTCACCTGTGTTTTCTCTTTCGTGAACCTATAATGTAACAAACTCCCCAAGAATCAGCCAAGTTTACATCACAATATAATACCAAGAGACGACGAAGTCTAAACACCATTACCTTAATGACACGATGGACAATCGGAATATCACGGCCCTGAGAAGAGAAGCGTGCAGCAAACAAACCAATCAGGAGAAAGCCTCACAAACGAAAGGGAGAGAGCGAATGAGACTAAAAGAAAGGGAAACTTACATCAACATTGAAAACAACAATTTCACCTGCTCGAATCGGGTCTTTACTCATGTGCAAGAACAATATATCCCCCTACACAATACCAATTTCGATACATTATGTCCACATACCGGAAAAAATGTAAGGTTCCTCGTTAAACTAAAGTCTAATTACCCTCTTAAATCCAGGTTCCATGCTTCCAGAGAGAACAACAACCACCGGAGATTCGCTTCCCGTTACACACATCAACGCTTTCCATATAATCAAAGCAGATGTAACAATCATACCTACCAAACAACACAATAAGAGAACCATTTTTTTTCATAAGACTCATATCGAAAACAAAAGAATCCAACCAATCAGGAACCCAATCTTGTATTCTCAGAATAAAGTCCCAAACTTAAACAATAAACACATTTCCCCTGAAAAAGATTTCAACTTTATCAACTCTAATTTCCGTAACACCGTCGACTTCATCAACTAAATTTTTTTCTGAAAAAAGATTAGAACTTTATCCAAAATCAAAACGCAATTGGAGCTGTAATGTTCATACATTAGCGAACCCTACACACCAATTACTCGAATTACAGTAACAAAAACCCCAAATCAGACTGAGACTA